TTCCTTCACAGTGGTGGGCACAGGCCAGTCAACCACTGCAGCCACCTTCTTGTCGTCCATGAAGACACCCTCTGCGCTTATGACGTAACCTAGGAAGGAAGTTTCTGACAGACGAAATTCACATTTTTCACCTATAACATATAACTGATTCTCCAGTAGACGTGTCAGGACCTGGCGAACCTGTTGGACATGAGTAGTGAAGTGAAATGTCATCGATATATGCGATTACAAATTTCCCCAACATGTCTCTAAGTACATCATTAATAAAAGATTGGAACACAGAGGGGGCGTTTCTGAGACTGAATGGCATAACAAGGTACTTATAGTGCCCCCTAGTGGTGAGAAAAGCCATCTTCCACTCATCACCCTTTTTAATTCTAACCAGATTGTAGACACTGCGTAAATCCAGCTTGGTGAAAATCTTGGCCCTCCCGCAACTGCTCAAGGGCGACAGGTACTAAAAGAAGGGGATAAGGACGGGCTTTAGTGATGTTATTCAATCCTCTATAGTCAATACAAGGACGAAGCCCTCCATCTTTCTTTTGCACGAAGAAAAATCCTGCAGTTGCCAGGGATGTGGAGGGACGAATGAACCCTTGGTCCAGGACTTCTTGCACATACTCCTCCATGGCTGCCTCTTCAGCCTGAGTGAGAGGACAAACACAAGACTTGGGGGGTAATTGATTATCAATGAGTTAGATAGCACAGTCATAGTCTCTATGAGATGGCAATTTTGCGGCATTTACTTTGTTAAAAACCTCAGCAAGATCAGCATATTCAGGTGGAATGTTAACCTGAGTGTCCACAACAGGACTTTCCACAGATGTTGAATTTGCACTAGACCCCCATATAGCCTGTGTAAGCGCTCCTCCTTGGACAGACGGGAGGTGTCCACCTGCATGGGCTCAGCAATGGGGACATCAGGTTTCACAGGTTTGGGTGATGGACCAGTTCGTTAAGCGGTATGAAGTGTGGCGAGACGATGTACTTTGCGTTTCGAACTCTGCTTTAACTGATCCAAACGAATAGCGAGAGCAATGAGATCATCCAATGACAGTCCATCATCCTTACAGGGAAGTTCAGTCAAAATCTCTGAGTTAAGTCCATTTCGGAATGTTACAATAAGCGCCGGCTCATTCCAGCCACTTACAGCTGCTAAAGTCCTAAATTCTAAAGAATAATCCGCTACAGATCGCGAACCCTGGCAAATGTGTGATAACAATTCACCTTGGGAAAGTCCCTCTTGAGGGTGATCAAAAACAGCCCTAAAGCTCTTTAAAAAAATCTGCATATGTGCTCTGTTCAATGGATAGCCATACTGCTGTAGCCCAATCTAAGGCTTTACCCGTAAGTCTGGAGATCAGAAATGCAATATGTCTCCTGTCAGAACTAGCTGGAGAATTAGCAAAATATAATGAGCACTGCAACAAAAATTCCTTGAACAAGTTAAGACTCCCATCATATTTATCCGGTTTGCTCACCGGGAAATGTTCATCAGGGTTGGGAGCTGGTGCAGGTACTGTGCTATTTCCTACAGGAGTTGAGGAAGTCAAGGGTTTGAGAACTAACTGACTCAACTGGGCAGACAGATTTCATGTCAGAAGCAATTTGTAGAAGCTGATTGTGTTGTTCGAGTTGTTGATGAGTGAGTGTCCCTACAGTCCCAGACAGTGACTCAGAAAGCTGGTTATGTTGCACCAACAACTGACCTTGGTTGGTGATGGTACTGTGGAGCTCTCTCAGATCCGCCATCTTGGTTGTGGCAAGGTATTCTGTAACGCTGCACAAACACAAGAAGAGGCTTGCAGGTCTTAAAAATGGAAGTCTGTTTAATGAGAGAGTTATCAGTACGTAAGTCCAAGTAAAACACAATCTCAGGGCAAATCCAATATCGTAATCCAAAAACCAAGCAGGGCTCAAAAACCGGAGTAACCAAAACATACAGGCAAACAGAGCAGAAGGGCAAATCCAAAAGAGCAAAATCCAGAAAGCAGGCAAAAGGTTCAAGGCACAAGTAACAAAAACAGAGAAGAAAATGGCAATACCTCGCAACAAGGAGAACAAACTGAGGCCTATTTAAGTTCTGAGACAAACAACTAGTAAACTAGTAAAACTAATTAGTTTGGCTGATTCTTTGATTACAAAGCTCACATTGTGTGGGATAAATGAACAAATGAAGCACACTTCCACAGTTCCAGTACTTTTTATTTGCCAAACTTGCTTTATAAAGAACATTATTTGCTCTTTAAGGAATGAAACTGGCATTTACTTTTTTCCAATTTTAAATAAGTTGTCAGTTTAAATAACGAATCAAATAAAGTGATACATCGAAAGTAAGAGGCAGCGAGATATTTAGCTCAATGAGTCATGCATAATTGTGCTGGGACATTTTAGTACAAGTGTAGCAGCAGCATGCAAATACAGCATGAGTGCACTTGCCTGCCTCATGTTATTTAGGAGTATGTGCACAAATCAGCCAAAATAAAAACAATGAATTGGCCAATTTCTGATTTTGTGTTTTGAGCAGGAATCTGCTGGTTATGATCCTGGCTGATTCAGATGGTTCATCTCTAGTAATTGGTGGCAATTACTATTAAATGTTCACTTTAAGTCTTTCCTTTTCTAGAAAGTGACAGTTTTGGTAGTGAAGGTGATCAGAGGAGGTGACAGGAAGAAACTCAGAGGCCAGCAGTGAGCTTAAAGCAGTGAACACAGCATTTCTACTGTCAGACAGGTAACACTGCAGGACTATTGTGTTCATGAAGATTCTGTTGAGCATGTAGTTCATTATTTATAGTTATTCATTTGGTCATGCACAATGTGCTTTAATTATTTATATTATTTACACAGTGTGTGTGTGTGTGTGTGTGATTTTGTTTTTCACATGCAGTCAGTTTGCTGTTTAACCTTGTGAGCTCCTGTATGATTACCTACGGAAGCGTGGAAGTGCAGCATGACGTTGACTCAGGAAGGAAGAATTTAGATTAAAAGCCATCGCAGACCGGACGTGCTGCTCAGCGTCTGAACACTCAAAGCCATTGTTTTTAATGAAGTTACGCAAACTACTTCTGACATTCGGCGACTCTGAGCACTATTCAGTTTCTTAGTGGATCACAGCACACCACTCAGCTTTCTGCCAATACTGTGTTAAAGCTGCACTTCTTAAGATTTGGAGATCTCTCTGGTGGAAATATGTAATTTCACACAATGTGCGGAAGACAATTTGTAATGTCAGTTGTGCTTCAGACCTTACCCAAACGGATGATTCTGATGATTGCCAGTGCATTGAAAGAAACCTAAACCATGAGCTGACATATTTTGAGTATGTTCATGTGATGGAAGGGGGTGAGGCAAAGAGGCCTTGATTAAAACAATAGAAAAAGAAAGTAGACGTCGTGCTTTGAAATTATCACAGAGAAAGGGAGTCAATTATTTATATAAACAGACACATGCTTATATATAACCTCAGTAAATGTTACTAGTGTAGTCTTTTTTCATCTTGTATCTAATCATCTTGAAAACTGCGAGTTTGTGAAGAGATAGAAAACTGATGCTATTCTTTCTCTCTCTCTCTCTCTCTCTCTCTCTCTCTCTCTTTCACTCACTCACTCACTGTTTTCCATGCAGTTCAGCGCTCCTGCTGGAGACTCCAGACAGCAGCGGTACTTAAACTTCACCAAGACCCTCCTGAACTAGAGGACTGCTTCAGTTTGTGGTTCAGAGGACGTCCATCTTCTCAGATTAATGATGAAGTTTTTCTCCATAGAAACCTTGAGAAGAAATGCAGCAAGACTGTATGAGACATCAGGAGATCTACATCAGGAGGAGAACCAGAAGAGGAGGTCCATGGACTCTAAGCATCATTGTTCAGCATCAACTTTGTCATCATCATCATCATTACTGTTAGCATCATCACTGTGGAGGAAGAATAAGTCTGAACAAAGTCACCATCCCTGCTGTAGTCAACATCATCACCATCATTTAGGATACTGACATCAACATCTTCTCATGAGGAGCAGCATCATAACTGATACTGACTTCATCACAGTCCTAATTATCATCATTATCTTTGAGCCGTGGACAGAGACAGTGGACTTACTTCATTTAATCAGAAGACAAACTCCCAGCCAGCTAATCAGAGTTAAAGCCGACTATCTACTTTGTGAGAAACACATGGACTTTTACTGAGAACCAGTCAGAAGGTCTTCCTAGCCTGAGTACTAGACTGTTGGTTGTAGTGTAGTTTCAGCTATTTACCTATAACTAACTGTTTAGTATCTATGCTAGGACACTGCTGTCATCATGGGATTTTCACTTGAACATGGAACAGAAATGAGATATAACTGACACTGGACAATCAGACAGTTGGACAGTTTTCTCTCTTTAATGCTCTGTATAAAAATTAGTACAGCATTCATCACAACAGTTTTATATATTTATATATTATTTTATATATTTTCTAATTGCAAAGAAATTCATTTATCTGTTTCTGTGCAGCCATACAAAAGTCTTAGTGAAAAATATAATTAAACTAATCCTGTTTTAGCAACTGTATTTTCATTCTGAATGTACTTAGAACTAGTTACTTACTCTAGTTATTTGCTCTATGTCACGCATCCCTCAGGCTCAGAGGCCTCTAGGGACTCCATTTCCCAGAATCCCCAGGGGGATCACATGATTCTTAGCCCTCCCTCTCGCTCTCTGTCTCCTGAATATTAACTTGTTACACCTGTTCTGATATGATTAGCTTTGTATAGAGCCCAGGCTTTTGGACTAATTCTTTGCGAGCAAGGATGGGGGGAGTAGTTAAGTGGCGTGCTACTTTTTGTAGCTAACTACAAATTTATGTAGCTAATAGCTGTAGCTGCTGCAGTTTTATGAAATGTAGCTAATAGCTGTAGCGCCTACAATTTTTTGTGTAGCTCTAGCAATAATTTTCGCTACAGTCTTCAGGCAATCCGCTCAAAATCTGAACCATAGAACGCGGTCGTTAACTGGGCATGTGGCGACTGTGGAGTAACGACCGCGGACAGTTCAAGCAAACGGGCACGCGCTGGACCCACGCGCTGATCACTGTAAGATGGTTCTTCTTATGCAGGAGGACACCGGTCGAGGTAAGTAACATGAACTTTATTCGCTTATGAACAGCGTTAGATAACAGAGCTATTGTTCTCTTTTCTCAGGTTGTGTGCTGCAGAGAGGTCTCTCGTTCAGTCGGGGCTATTTCAGTAGTAATGCGCAGGGCGCATGGATACGTAAGGTAAATAGTGCTCACCAAGGACAATATTATAGATCATTACATTACAATCACCCCTTACTAGTAGGCTTAGCTCAGGGGTCGGCAAACGAAATAGTAAGAAGAGCCATTTTGTCCTTTCAACAAAAATGAAACCACCTTGGGAGCCACAATATTTTGTCCATTTTACCATCTTGGCTGTAAGTATGTCTAAGTATGTGCTGATGTGCTAGTACAGGCTAAAAAAAACATAATATAAACGCAAACGCAGACTTACTTTGCTCTGCTTTAAGCTTTAACGTTAGCTCAGCTATAGCCACTTCTCTCGCATCTCAGGAAACTTTTCTGCGAGTTTCTTGTAAAATGTCTCTCAATGTTTGACTTTTATGAGGCTGAAGTCGCTTATCATTCACCGACGTTTCGTTCGAATTGTCCTGTTCCACCTTAGATGGTGCCTGAGGCGCCAGATTGTACTGCTGCGCTGTTTAAGGTGGAACGGGGGAATTCGAACGAGAAGCTGGTGAATGAGAAACTGACTTCAGCTTCGCGACTTGTTGCAAATTAAATGTATGAGGAAACCGGCTGAGCGCTTATACATGCCAGTCCATTCATCTCCAAATTATTGATGTTCGTCATAAATCTTTCTCTTTGCCGTTTAGTTATCTGCATTGCTGTGTGACCAGCAGTCTGCGCGTCAGAATGAGCAGTTTTGCGTTAACTCCAGCGTTTAAGACCATTTATTGTGAAAACTGTGTTATAACGATTTTACAGCAAAGGAGGATTATATTATTTTACCTAGAAATCTAGTTCTGCTGTGGAGCTGGAACAGCTCTGCAGCAGTGGAGAGATTATTCAGGCTTGCTTCTCACCCCAAACAGAACCAGGGTCATTGATGATGAGAAATTTTGAGGCTAAAGTGTTGAAGTTTAACAAAGGACTCTGAATGTCATGTCTGTACATATCTTGCTGAAATGTCTAAATTGGAGCAGTTTATTTCAACAGTTGATAATGCTTTGCCTAAAATTGTTTAGTTTGTTTTTGTTAGGAAAAACCTGGAATGATTGACTTTGTCTTTACTTAGTCTAATTTTTTGTTGGATGTCATGCCTTTGGTTGCCTAAGTTTGATTGTTGGTTATTTTTGGTGATCTTTTTATATATTTACAGCTTTTCAATTGTATGTTTCTTTCTGGCACATGATTAAATGCAGTACCTTGTTCACACTATCAGTTGGGCCTGTTTGGTGTGTCAGGTGGAGATTCACAAACATTCTGACAATTGTGCTTTGAAAGTAGCTAAAAAGTAGTGCACTACTTTTCAAAAAGTAGCTTAAAAGTAGCCACTACTTTTTCTGGAAAAGTAGCTAAATTGTAGCTAGCTACAACTTTTGGGAAAGTAGCTATAAGGTAGCTAGCTACTAATTTTTCAGTAGCTATCCCAACCCTGTTTGCGAGGTATTGCTACTTGTTCCAAGAGCTACTGAGGGTTATTAATTATTGTGACTATTGTGATTTTTCTGGTTCTGGCTGTTTTGTTCTTTTTGCCTTTGCCCTTTGGATTCTGTTTGCCAGGTTATGTTTGTCTTTTTGTGTCTTGTCTTTTTTGGATTTGACCTTTTGCCTGTTCTCTGACCACGTTTTTGGATTACGATTCTAACATTAAAGCCTCACTTTCTCTTTTTACCTGCGAGTGTCTGAGTTATTCTGCCTCGTATACTCTAATTACTCTGGATGAACTAGTTCATTACATTCCAGAATGTAAAAGTGAATATATTTCTTTGGTGTACTCACTTTGCAATATATTACATTGATCAATTTGTAAAGAGTGTAATAATCCTTATTTCATGGCTACCTCTAGTCTTTTGGAGGCCTTAAGCAGGATTTTTAGGGGCCTCAATCTTTACAGCTGATGTGCTGTAAAATTAGAGGCTAACTAATTACACTACCATGAGTGATTGTGTATTGCTCGTGATTGGGTACTACAGATAACCTTCTCAGCTTTTTGGATTTGATCTAACAGTTCTGGCAGTGGTGACAGTGTTACTTTTTACTGTTAGAAATGCTTCACTGTCTACATATTTACTTCTTTTTCCTTTTTTGAAGATTGTTGATGACTGTTCATCATAGATGTCATTCTTTCATGTGCACAAGCAAGAGCATTAATTACAAGTTATATCTGCTTGATGAATTGGCATTATAGTGATGGAGCATGATGAGACTGCGTACTTTAAATTCTCAGTAAGAAACACAGCCTGATGGACATGCTTATTTATATGCATTTTATTTTATAATTTTTAATGGTGTCCTAGTTTGTCTTCCAGGAAAGTATTTTGGAATCTTTTAACTGTTTAGTACATGTCAGTGTTTATTTTTAGGCCTGTTTTTCAAACCTCAATTCCAAAAGAGTTGGGGCAGTATGTGAAATGTTAATAAAAACACAAAAAGCAGTGATTTAGTAATTTTTTATTTTTGACCTGTATTACACCGAAAACAGTACAAAACACATGATTTGGTGTTTTACCTTATGAAAATTATGTAAGAATGTACTCATTCCAAATTTGATGCCTGTAACACTTTCCAAAAATGCTGACACAAGAGCATGTTTACCTCATGTTATATCACCTTCACTTTTAACAGCACTTAATATTCGTTTGTGGACTGAAGACACCATTGAAGATCTGAAGTATCAGAGCATGTGATACAAATAATAAGCAATACAAAATTGAATATCATATTTACATTTTTGCTCTTAGTTAAATGTCTTAAATTAAATTAAGTGTCTTTACAATGAATTTACAACCCTGTTTACCAAAAAGTTGGGATGTTGTGCAAAACGTCAAACAAGTCAAAGGTACGAGGCTGTGTATGTGAGCGCCTCATTAGGACTACACTGGTTGGACTACAAATTCCACAGTGCATCGTGTTCAGCTCAGGAGCCTACAGAGCCAGTATGCATTTTAGAAGTCCATCCATCCATCATCTAAACCGTTTATCCTTCTGGGTCGCGGTGGGGTGCTGGAGCCTATCCCAGCTGTCATTGGGCGGAAGGCAGGATACACCCTGGACAGGTCGCCAGTCCATCGCAGGGCAGACAGACAAACATACACATTCACACACACTCACTCACTCCTAGGGGCAATTTTAGCACGTCCAATTGGCCTGACTGCATGTTTTTGGACTGTGGGAGGAAACCGGAGTACCCGGAGGAAACCCACGCAGACACGGGGAGAACATACAAACTCCGCACAGAAATGACCCTGGTCGCCCGGCTGGGAATCGAACCCAGGCCCTTCTTGCTGTGAGGCAACAGCGCTACCCACTGCGCCACCGTGCCGCCCGCATTTTAGAAGTATTTTAGCTAATTGTACCGTTTTATATATTGTTTCATGTCATGTATTTTCTTAACGGAAAGTGGAAATTAGATTAAATTCTTCTGTTCTCGGCGTTAAAGGCAGCACATCTTAGACTCACCAAGCGAAGGTGCGTTATTTTTAGGAACATGTGCCGCCGTCGCTGTTTGAGAATCTTCTGTCATTGATAATTTCACAAATACTTTGTAGATTATAAAATTAAAAACATCTGTCAGTCTTGCAAGATGTTACATAGGATTTATCCAGTAAAGCAGGAAAGAAAGATGAAAATTATGAAACTATTGCCCGTCTCTTTTTTCATTGCTTTAAGCCTATTAGATTGTTTCAGATGGACAGTATCTAATTTTCTCACAAGCAAATGTAAGAAAGCAATTGAAATGGAATCATTTGATGTAATATGCTTTATGTTGCTTTTGCAGTATATTTTGGGTCATTATCCATCTGTACTGTGAAGCACCGTCCTATCAGTTTTGATTCAATCTGAGCAGAATGTAGAGCTCTGTACACTTCAGAATTCATCCTACTACTTCAATCAGCAGTCACATCAACATACACCAGTGACCCAGTTCCATTGGCAGCTATACATGTCAGTGCCATAGTACTGCCTCCACCATGTTTGACAGGTGACGTGGTATACTTCAGATCCTGAGACTTTCCTCTCTATCTCCATAGTCTTCTTCCATCATTGTTGGTTTCATCTGTCATCTTGGTTTCATCATCTTGTTCCAGAACTGGGCAGCTTTTTCAGATGTTTTCTAGTCTAATCTGGCCTTTCTGTTCTTCAGTGTTACCAGTGGTTTGCATCTGTATTTACATTCATGAAGGAATCTCTTTATATGCCACCCTCCTCTTGAATGTCCTTAACTTGCCTAGATTTTATGAAGGGTTTTTTCTTCACCACACAAATAATTCTGCGATCATCCACATTACTCATCTTCCGCTGTCTGGCTAAGCTCGCCAGTGCATTCCTTTTTTTTTAAGAACGTACCAAATTGTTGATTAGGTCACTCCTAAAGCTTCTGCTGTCTCTCTAGTAGGTTTGTTTTGTATTTCAGACTAATGATGACTTTCTTCACTTGCCTCAACTTCTTTGAAAGTTCCTATGAACAGCAATCAAGTGCATATTGAACATTTGGAATCAACTCCAGAGCTCTTATCTTCTTCATTTGTAATGAAAACACTAGACCATGAAACTGCTTATCAGTCAACTTTCCATTTACTTTTGAGCATGTAAAAATGGAGGAATTATGTGAAACATGGCTGTAATTTGTAAACGGTTAATGAAATATTTGTGTAAAACCTCTTGACAATCTATAATCAAAAATCTTGATTGCTTCGTTTCAAATCCATTGTGGTGTTGTTCAGAGGCAAAATGACCAAAATTGTGTTACTATCCAAATACTTATGGACCTGGCTGTTTGTTTGCAGTTTAACATCACGTGTAAGTTTCATTGTAGGCCTACTGTATGCTTACCCTCTACAGTCATATTTGGATTAGCCTATATAAAGA